CCAGTGGGAGATAGCTGTGGCTGTACAACACGATGTTTTCGTTGATAATTCACATTTTCAGGAGAGAAAGTTGCCCCTCATCAGTTTCCCTTGGGTACTCCAGCCAATTCTTGGTAGGATCGCAAATGAGTCTTTTGAAAATCCAGTGACTCGCAGAGGGTGCCCCGCCCACATACAAGTTGAGATTCCTCGCGGGTCCAAACCCAGAAAAATCATGGCCAGTCTTCTCTCCCCAGATGTTGAAACTTCAGACGGCGTGAAGCATGCTGGCAATGTCTTGCAGCTCTTCGAAGACTCCAAACAAGACCCGATTGACCGTCTATGTATAATGTTTGATGAGACGGCATCCTCGGTCCACCAGACAGAAAATATTACCCCACCGTTTAATGGAACGAAGGGTGAAATCACAGATTTGTTTTTCGAGGTTAACGACGACGTCAGCACTCCGTCTATTTCTCTGCCTTATCCAAACATTCAAGGCAAAATTACCATCCCAGCACAGGAGCCAATCACTCAGCACATTACTTCGCCCGCTCTTTCCGCTCGCTCAAATGGTTTGGACATTAGATCACGTCCGCAAAAGCATTTCGCAAATCCCACCTTGCCAGCTACCCAGCGTGAAGCGCATGCCTTGAAACTAGGAGATGCGCATGCGAAAAAACTTCATATAGCCAAAGCAGCAGGTGATTTGGCTTTGGTGGCCGGGAGTCAGGAAGAAGGACAAGAAGAAGAAATTATCGACTTTGGAAATAATCTGCAGCCTTCAGCGCTGGACGAACTTATGCAACTTATCGGGATGGACTGAAAAGTCATGGGCGAGATGGATGGGGAGGGGAGTCGATGAAACTTTATTCTTGCTCTTCTTCGGGTCACTGTTCTTCGCTCTTGAAATCTCTTATCCTCCATTCCAGACTACTTCTAGAATTTCACTGGCTGTTGGGGGAATTGAATGCTTTGCACGACAGTAGCAGGGCTGTTAATTCTTACTAGTAGTTATTTGGGGTTTGAACATGTAGTCACTCCCGAGGGATGGACCAGCAAATAATTAAGTTTTGGCACAAAAAGTAGTTTAAATTTGCCAAGTTGCTGACGGGCGCATACAACCAGAGGGGGATTTTTCTTTTTCTTTTTTCTTTTCTTTTTTTTTTTTTTTGGACGCAACCATCGGACGTGATGCTATTCATCTTCTATTGACAACAACTGTGTCCCGTAGTTAACTACTTACCTCTCTTAAACAATCAGCTCATAATTCCTTGCAGCCACATTTTTTAATTTCACCTGAAGCAAGTCAAGCATTGCATCCATCTCGATGTAAAAGTATATATACAAGTATATTTATTTACATAACCACAAGATAACCTGGGAGGGTTGGCCCACACTTCCCTGTACACGAGATATACACAACTAAGCTGCGGATGTAGGAGGCTCATCCGACCTGAACGTCTCCCGCTAGCTAGGAAGAAAGACAGAAAAGAATTTAGAAATATGCCTACACCAACCGCACCCCTCCTAGCTCCCTACACAGCATCGCCTCTCCCCGCCCAGTCCCTCACCCTTATCACCTCCGTTCTCGGCGCAACGAGTAACTGGCTAGTTTTAAGGATCCTCTGCGATGCTCTATCGTCCGGCAGCGGTCGAGGAGGAGAGGAGATGGAGTTTGGCGGCCCGGGTGCCCGAAGAAGGGTCAGAGGGGTAGTTTTCGTGAGCTTTTTGAGGGCCGTGAAGTTTTGGAGGGGAGAGGCGCGGAAAATGGTATGGATTGTTGATTTTGATTTTGGATGACCTTTGGATGTTTCTTTCTTTGTTTCTTTCTTTCTTTCTTTCCGTTTCTTTCCCCCATCATCGTACAGTTTTGATATGTTTCTTTTTGTCTCTATTTGGCTGTTCTGATATGAGGAATGGGTAAACACTCTACATTCAATTGACAGCGGCATGCTCCGCTAGTCAATGAACTTGCTTACGCGCCCCTTTTTACGTGTCTCTGACCCTCGACTTAGGGACTGGATCTCGCTAGGCTGTCAAAAGAAGGCAGATTTGCTTTCGTAGACGGGGTCTCGGAGCTCTTCTTACCCATACAAACATTTCCGGATCCAGTGCCCGGGCGTTCAGTGTCGAGCAGTTCACCAAGTCCGGCCCGGATTCCGCCACACACCGTATTACCCCCTCGGGGACCAACATCTACCAGCCTTCCAACTGTAACTAGCCAACAGAAGAATGGCGAAATTGCGTCGAGAAAACTTCGATGGTCTGGTACGGGGAACAGAGCATTAGATGCACTGGAGCAGGAGATTGTTTTTGCCATCAATGACTTAAGAAGTGACGATAGAGCGTCGGATGAAATGCCGGTGGACAACGATGTACTCCTTGTGGTGGACCAGCCTGATTTGCTCCTTGCTGCTACAGGTCCGGGAATGGGAGTTGGAGCGGTGGAGATGGGGGAGTTTCTGTTGGGGTTACGACAGGTACGTTAATGTGATGACCCTAGGAAATGGAGTTTATCATTCACCTTTTGGGTTACTCTAAATAGAGGGGGTTGTGGATAGGGTCAGAATTGATAGGCTAACTGAAATTATCCGGTTAGCGGGTTCATTCTGCTGTTGTCACACTTGCAGCCGATTCACCTCTGATACACGCGGGTTCTGTCAAGTCTACGCACCAACAGCCAACACCGCTTGAGAGGGAACATGCATCCTTAGTTGTGGGGATGGCGCATCAAGCTAGGATGGTTATGCAACTGAGAGGTTTGGATACGGGTGTTGCTGGTGATGTCAGCGGAGTGCTACGGATTAGTAGAGGGGGTGGATGGGTTCCAGAAGTAGGGATTGCAAATAAAGGGCAGAGCCATGACCATTCAGGCTTAGAAGAGAAGGAGGTATTATATTTTGTACAAGGAGATGGTGCGGTTCGCGTTTTCGAGAGAGGCGAGTGAAGTTATTGGCTATGGATTGAAATTCGTATAAATTCAGTGTAAATTTTGGTCCAGCATTTGAATCTCCTGTTGAAAGCATTGAATGAATCATAAAACCGTTGGAGAAGGAAAGAGGGCCAATGAAGCGGACCGATTGCGGAATAGCATGTAGGGGGCAACTTAAAAAGTTCCAAGTCTAACAAGAATTGTTGATGTTAAAAGAAACACATTGACGGCAGACATCATGTCATTAAACTAGTCATGCACAAGGCGCATGCCACGTTCCTTTTCTATCCCCGCGATTTCCCATTGGGCCAAATAGGTTGTTTCTCTTTTTTTCGAATGTTGATAGCACGCTAACAAAAAAAATAACAGTTAAAACACCCCTGAGCCGTTACAAGAAATCAACCCGGCCATCCACAAGGAAAAGGAAAATAATAATTCAACCCTTAGCCCGAATTGTCGTTGGAAGCCGTCTTTTCAACCCACACATGACCTTAATGCTTCTCTGGCCCTCGAGCTCCCTTGGGAGTACCGGTTTGGAACCCGTTCTTGAATTTGCGGTCGACCGTTTTGAGATATCGCATGCGTCCACTTCCGGTGGTTCTTCGTCGCAAAGACTTTTCAGCCCAGTTGTCTATTGAAGGCAGAATCATCCAAGTAAGTAAAAACATAATTTTCCCAATCTGCTTTCTACATTCCACATTGGCTTTTTTTTTTTTTTCGGAGCGACTGCAAATGCCTCCCTTCTCGAATGGGTCGAATGGATTAAATACTGGGGTTCAAAAACACGTACATTTCCGAGTCTTAGCGGATGGATATCCGCAAGATGAACATGTGTGCTTTTGGATGTGGAGAGAGCGACGGCCTATTCACAATTGTCCCAAATATTGTTCAGTTCATCATTCTCTTGCCTGAAATATCCCTGGAACCGAAATGGGATGGGTATCCAAAAGCCTCGTTAACAAACGGATTCCGAGAGATCAGACTAACCGCAACGTCTGCACAGGGTGTGCGTCTTGTTATGGCGCTTGCCGAAGCTAGAAGTTCCCTTCGCTATTCAATATGTTAGTTAACCATAATAATTAAAGGACGAATTGGTGAGGAGGAGCAGGTTTTGGGGACGCGGTGGTTGTATCGGTACATACTCATCTTGAATTAGGGACTAGAATTCAGGGACTGTCAGTAATTATGATGCGTAGGAATGCGAATGCAATGGCTATAGTATCCTCACCTGGAATGCTGCGTCTACAAGCGCTTGTCGTTATCGCCGTCGTTGTCGCTGGACGTTTGGATCGAAAGTTTTCATCGCAGCCAGAAGTCGCTAAGCGAATTGTGGTGTAGGGTTCGAGCAACGCACGTGACATTCTTTCCTCTTTTGGCCTAAAATTCATGTGAGGAGAAATGCAAATATGCCAAGAACTAGTGCAAACATCGACTTTCAGATTTACTCAAAAAATTATTTCAACGTCACGACAAACAGCGACAAGTGGCTCCCCTAGAGTCCCCTGGTTTTGAGATGGGCCGAATCCTACAAAAAAAGAAGAATCGCTCAGGCGCTCCAAGGGTGAAGCAAAAGTCCAACCGCCTGAAAAATGGCAACAAGAAAATCAATGTCCTCGGGAACGCAATCATCGCGCAGAATTGGTAAATATATCCTTTTACATAGCTCCTTGCCAAAAATCTGCTTCTACACTTCTATAACAATCTAACATTTCATAGGGATAAAAAATTAACTCTGACCCAAAATTACCGCCGACTCGGCTTAACGTCCCAGCTCAACGCCCCAACTGGCGGCGCGGAGAACAAACCTGACGACCCGTCAAATGGCCGGCAGGAAGCAGACTCTTTACATCTCCTACCCTCCCTGACAAGTGTGAAGATGATAAAACCTGCAGAGATGCGTGTCGAACGAGATCCGGCAACGGGGAAGATTCTCCGCGTGATCCACCCTGAGAACGAAACCGAGGAGGTGGAAATTGCTGGAAGAAAGCATCGGAGAGCAAATCCGCTAGAAGATCCGCTCAATGAAGTTGGTGATGATGTCTTTAATAATACATCTTTGAGAATCCATGGAAGCACGTCGTCGTCGGTAGTGGTTCAAGCGCTGGAGCGTCAGGCTGCTTTGGAAGAGGAGGCGTTGAAGAAGAAGCAGCCTAGACAGCAGAGCAAGCGCGAGGAGGAATGGTTAGAGAGACTGGTGGCAAAGCATGGCGATAATATCATTGCCATGGTTAGGGATACGAGATTGAACCCTATGCAGCAAACAGAGGGGGACATAAAACGGAGACTGAAGAAGTGGAGGGAAAAACGAGGAAATATCTAACAGGAACATTTACCTACGCAAGAAACTATTCAATTATTAGATGAATGGGCAAACTGGGTTTGGTACGGCGTTTACAGGGATGGGACCTTTTATTTTTCATGGACACAATCTTCAGCACGGTTCCCATGGGCTGAAAACATAGCCCGAATAAATCTTTTTGGATTTGCACTTCTCACGTTCAGTGAACATCCTGGCCGATACGGTACTCTCGCTGGTCAATATCGGTACTAGCTACCAAATTTTAGGTACCAACGAGACCAACTATGCAGCATCCCGCTTTTGCCATGATAACTCGAGGATTTATTTTTGCAGATGACTCCGTTTGCCGTTGGTTTGTGGGGCTAAATTAGCCTTAACATTGAGGTACATTTTCACTTCGTGCTTGAAGGAATTGCACTTCTATGGTCTGTTCTACAGTGGTGCGAGGCATGTGCAAATCCTGTCTCGGCGTACTCAGATGATGACGGGCAACTTTCATGGCTACCTTTGTCGAAGGTAGGTTGCCGCTGGGCAATGCGGGTAGATCACCCAAAAATAAAAATTGGTATCAAATGTCATGAAAGTAATGAAACTCACTAATGTTTGACCGTTTCGTCTTTCTTCTCCTTTGTTTAAATGTATGAAATCAAGGGCATTATGTCGCTTCCTTTCAACACACAGCCGGAACTACGCATTCATCCAGGTATAAAGACAGTGAAATAACACACAACTTGCCCTCGGCACATTCTCAAAACCGGCTCCTTATAAATATACTAAAATATCGTTTTTAATTGCCAAAAAATTTCTATTTCGCCCTCTTTTCAAGTTCATAATGAGTGAGTGAGAACTTTGATTTGAGATATTTCTCTGCTGTTAATCACGCCACAATCTATTATCTTCGTTCCGTTATTTGATATCCTCTGTGCATCTCAAAATATTTGAGTATCTCGTTTGGTCTCTGGCGTCTCGTCAAGACCGCCATAATGCCTAAGACGTCAGTAGCCCGGATGCTGGTGAGCCTGATGCTGCTTTGCCATCTCTCGATCGCACAGTTGTAAGTACTCTAGAACCAAGATAAGATATCACGGAAAGAAATGCTCTGACTGAGATACAAATACCACTCAAGGCTTGGATATTCATTTCCGGATTTCTTGAATGGGCTTAATTGTTTAGGGGGGAAAGAAGACACTTGTGGAGAATCACCAGACGGAACAGTTCCATTCCTCATCAAAATGTGTGCAAAAGGGGGCCCGAAACAAATCGACTGCCGCGAAGTGTAAGTGATGTATCCAGGGGGAAAGAAACCACGTTTTATCAAAGAAAATGAGAAAGAGAAAAAAAAATCAAATACTAATAACGAAAGTCAAGGCTCAAAAACATTGACCCTGTCGGCACAAAGAAAAATGCATACTGTAGGTGGCTAATAATATTCTAAATGATATAAAGGACGAAACATAGGGCCGATGTATGAAAGAATAAAGAATAAGCTAATGTCCGTGTGAAAAAACGGGGGGAAAATAAAAAATAACAGGCCAGATATCCTCCAGAAAACCTATATATCCAGTCTGCATCTTCAACGGCGTGGAATATAGCGTAAACGACAAAAATGAAGTGAAATCTAAAGCAAGTGGCACCATTATTCCAACATTCCCAGCAGCTAATCCACGACCTCGGCCATTTCACTAACGACACTAACTATGGAATCAAGGCTACCTATACGCCGGAACCAACGGCGCCATTTTCCCCGGACACAACTGCATCTTCGGGAAAAAGCAACAACAGCGGCGATGATGACGCGACTCGCACAACTAATGCGCCCACTATCTCGACCGACCCTTCGTCGGCAGAAACGGTATTACGCTCGACAAAGGACGTTACAATAACGGTCCCTCCTCCCACAGCCTCAACAACAGCAGCGAATGCCCCTCTAAGCTCTGCCTCGGCGACGGGAAGGTCTCCAATGGCTAACGGGTTAGTGGGAAGCTTGGTTGTGGCATTCCTTGTAGAAATATGTTTCTTGGTTTTGTTTGGTATGGATTAGTCCAGTGTGACTTCGCCATCTGTATCTGGTTGTCGCTGTTCTTAGTAGTTGAAACTGAGGGAAGAGGAGCTGCTGTAATAATAGAAGAGTAAATAAAATTAGTTAGTGACAGAGGCTACTTCCAACCCTTCACCTGGAAACTCTTATCTCTTGGGAGCTCTTCCTTTACCAACCTGCGCCTTACTCACTGCTTCTCCGAGATAGATATATCCCATATCCTTGGTAGAAGGATTCCTCTTCAATCCATTTGGGGGATCTCTCTTTTTGCTTGCTTGCTTGCTTGCTTGCTTGCTGTTGTTGTTGACGAGATGGAGTGGACAAAACGGACAAGAAGTAACCTCTTGGTATGCCGTTAAAATTGTACCAATTAAACCGTCCATTATACAGTGGACTGAATGTCGAATATGCATTGACTACTTGCTCGAAACCCATGCTTTTCTAAATACAGATCTGATCTGGGATGCCCACACTGCGTCCTTCACTTTAGTCTTCACAAATGACTCTAGATCATCCCAAAACTCTTCTGTTGCCAGCACATTCCGTACATCATTTTCAACCAGATCATGAGTAGAGAGTGTCTCTGATGATTTCTCCGAGTGTTTTCTTTCCCCTGCACTGGGAGTTGCAGAGATAAGTGACGCACCACCAAGGATCATGACACCCAATTCAATCTCATTTCCATCTGATATTACTGTAGAATCACCTTCTAGAATCTCAGCTATTGTCTCTCCTTGCACAGGTTTCCTCTTCCACAATATCTTTATTCTATCCAGGGGCACACGCGCATTCCCCACTTGGACCCTCTCTTGGACGACTTCCTTGAGTTCCCCGACTGAGGTAGATGGTATGGAGCAATTATCCAGGGTAATATGTAGTGCTGGATTTCGGGCCGACTTTAGATGAATTCTTATTGACTTTGATGATCCCGGAATCGTTGGTTGTTTTATCTTCTTTGGCATCGGGGGGTGGCGATCAGAGAGGCGGGTGAGGGTGTACTGTGGACAGTCAGATCGCAGGCACTCTATAGCTGGATTGATTTTTCTTACAGGATGTGGAGTCTCAAAGCTGCTGGGATCAAAGACATAGTCACTGGGGAGCTTCACAGATTGTGAATCAAGTGACAAGAGGAATGATTTTGTAAATGTAAACTCTGTCATGCTGAGTCCGTACACTCTTAATTGCTTGCTTACTTGCACAGGATGTGGTAGACAATAAATGGCAATTCAAGCACTATGCATTCTCAATTTTCAGTGATAAGAAGCTCAGATCAGACAAGGCAGTGGTTAAATCTCGGGTTTACGTTGGCCAAGCGGCCCGCCCCGCCGCACGTGATTAGGCGTCGAGATCCTTGTCCAGGTAGCTTCCCCACCACCAGGTTTTATATATATGTATATCTCTCTCTATTGAGGAATAGGTGGCTGGCTACCTTAAGGATTGGTCCCTTTGGCGTAGTGTAAAGCCTTCCTACAAGATTGCATGTTTTACACCAGGGTTATCCCTAGATAGCACATTTATGATTAAAAGTACACATTTTTTGCTAGAATATGCTGTATATAAATACTACTAGTAGCTAGTGAATGATGTCAACACTAATCCTTTATAAGAAAATTCTCATATAGAAATAATATATGTTATAAAAATAAGATTTAGAATCTATTATAACATGGCGGCGCCTAGAGGATTCCCAGAGGCGCCACACAAGAAGGTGAAGGTATAACTAGTATGAGGAGCCGTTAGATAAGGCTTAAATATCTGGTTGGTCAACAAGCAAGATATCTACGCAAGAGATTACGAGGGCTTAAGGATAAGAGGTAAGATATTATAAGGGGATTTCAAGAGTTTCGATTGATAAGGAGCGAATCGATGCTCTCTGTAATGAAGGGGCAGCTTGCTCAATCCTCCGCGCTCTGCTATCTTCGTACCGCGCTTGATCAACGCGCGGTAAGCCCTCGGTGGCATAGCGGAGGATCCGATGACCTGCGCTGCTGAGTCTATGTACCAGATGATCCCTCGGGGGGAAGACCCCCTTTCAGCATGCGGGACTTGTCCTAGCGACTGGCACCATGAACAACATGGCTTTGGAATGCCGTAAAACTGTATTTAGTCCGTCGTTACCCCCATAGTTTGATCGGGATTTTCCTTAAAGGGTCCATCCGCCAAAGTCACAAGACTCTTCCCCTAGCGCGGTTTCTGTAGCTGCTAGCCTGCCACTCCCTGTATGTTGTTAGCAGGCAAATACCCAATTCGCTGGGAACAGGACCATGGATAGGCTTCATAACATTCTTATTACCCTCCTTAGTATGTAGACCGAGTTGGGGTTGGGCAGATATCATGCAACGAGAACTCAATGGAACCTGAGCCAGGGAAAGATTTCCATGTCAACGAAGTTTGTCACAATAGCCACTTCCACCTTTGGAGTCACGGGCGCTTTGCAATGGTTCCGACGCGGATGATTGGCTTTGAGAGCGTAGTTCTGTTTTTTTTCATGTGCTAACCCATTAGCCCCCAACTTATCGACTTGCTCCGGATTAATGTTCAAATGCCCACTACTATGGACCAACTCAAATGTCCAAGGACGTCAACTAAGTTTATTGAGTCGCGCTATTATCAAACACGGACATTTGTTCGTCCTGATTGTACGATGAATCTTTCACAATACTCACGATTGATTTCAAGAGGTTTTCAAGCAAGGATTAAGAATGAAAAAGCCAAGTTCGCCTCGAGGAAGCTATTCATAGAGGGCTCACAGAGTAGAACCAGACGGGTTCAAACAAGGAGGCCAGGCAGTGACCAAATTAGGAGTTGTTGAAATTCTGATTTGTGTGAGTGTCTCCCTCAAACACTTGCCGAAGTCGAGTATCGTAATTCTGTCTATCTGCGAGCTTGCGTGTTACAATGCTCACTGTATCCCGTGCCCAGTACCAAGGCATGATTTGGTGAAACGCATCATGATCGGGACATTTTTCAGTTAGTTGTGGTTGGAGTTTTTTGCCAAAAAGTGCGAAAAGCCCAGTCGGGCTGGACAGGGCCAGGCTATACCAAAATGTCCCCATCTCCCAAGCCTGGTTCATGACAGTCGATAGTTTCATTGTGTTGCTAGCACCGTCACCTCGCTCTTCTTCATCTGCCAAGATGTTCATAAATTCCATTCGAGCTTTGTTGTACTCCTCAGTTACTATCTGATCCACACCCTTGTTTGTAAGCCAGTGAGGAGGTTGGAGCATCTCAACAGGTAAAGAGCATCCCCATTCTATATCAACAAGTGAGGTAATATGCCAGGCTTCATCAACAAAAATATTGCTTTGATGAAGATCAGTCAACATGAATGTGAATGGTCCGCGGCGGAGATCCCGACGGAAGAATAACGGAAAAATTGCTCGCATAGCCACCAGAGCCGATGATTGATAGATGTAGTCCCCCACGTCGTTTATTGCATTTGGTTGGTGTTGAAGCCGGTTGTCATGAAATGAAAGAGTGTCCACAACATAGGAATCAACAGTAGAATAGGTGTAATCCCGCGGCATACAGGTGGGAATTTCTTCGTTCTCTAATTCTTGAATGCCGAGTGAAAGAGGTCGGTTTGCTAGGCGTAGGAATCCATTATTGTCAATAACAAAAGATCCAATTTTGGGGAGCGGAGTGTTTGCAAGGCTGAGGAATATCCTGCTAAGGTCACGATAGAGATTACTTCGTAACTTCATATCATCTTGCTTCTCGAGCCAGGTGTTTGATAGCATTTTCCCTTTTGCTTCTTCAATATACTCAATCAACAAATAGCCAATGTCAAATTCCCTATCAGCAGATGTCCCACTCTGGTTACGGACATACTGTGAAGGAACAGGGCGACCAAGCATGGACAGAAGACGGCGACGTAGGAAGTGTATGCAACGGGTTAAATAAGGTAAGTTTTTGGCATGAGTAAACTGAAAACCGAGGTTAGTCGCATTTGGAAAACAATGCGGTTGCACACTCTCATACAGTTTCGTTTGTGGACATTGCAAAGCCATACAGTCGCGGAATTGGTATATTTGGGCAGTTGTCTTCCAGCCAGGCATAAGTACCTGCCTCACATCGAACTTTTTCATCTGCATTCCCCGGACAAAAAGCTTCGCCAACACGATATGGTAGGGGAAGTCGAAGTATGACACGTTCTCCAGGCTGTTGCTTTCCTCTCCAGTCAACAGTGGTGACTGGGATACACACATTGAAGCTTCCGTGGAGCCAGTCATCTACGTCGGCAACATGGCATGCATCGGGCGACTCCAGGTTCAAGTGATGGGCAACAATTGCTCTGATCCAGCTGCGCCTGTTATTGAGAAGAGTGAAGAATCTGGCTTCCTGGCTTGGATAGCTTAGGCGGTGAAGAATATTGACTTCTCTATCTTTAGCAGATGAGTAAGTAATTTCCTCGCGAAGCAGACGCCGAGTCACTGGCATAATGGTCATTTGAATGTACTAGAGGAGGAGAAGAGCGGACTTCCTGGTCTAAAGAAAAATAAATGAATTAGCAATGAGACTTCGACAGCTCGGTTACGATTTTTGAGGTTGCAGGCTACCCCTGGGTCACGTGTTATGCAATTCGTCCCTCGCAACTCCTAGGTATGGTCATCAGGCTGCTAACATCTTCAAAATAATCAATTGTGCAATAAATTCCCCTTTTTAAAATCTGTGATGTTCTTGGTGGTGGATTTGCGGATAATTTTGCCTGGGCAACCTTCTGAGCTTCCGACAGCTATGAGCTCATCCTGGTAATGACGTTTCAGATTGGATCAATGGATCAACGCTAATCAGTACATGTTGGACGATTGCACACGCTCGTTGTCAATGCCCACATAATGCTATTCTTTGACGTAAATAATGTAAATAATGATTGCAGGAAGCTGTGAAAATTGTTCAACATAAAACTCAGTTGATTCGTAAACGTGACATCATCAGGTAGAATTCGTATACTGGACACCACATAAAATAGGCGAATGATAGTTATGCAGAACCGCTGTCATCGACACTGGCACGCTGAACAACTCTAACCCATCTCCGCCTCCTCCATTCTCCCGTACCCTCAATCTTTGCGAGGCTCTCTTCAAAGTTCCCCTTAGCTAACTTCCCCTTGGACTCTTCCTGTTCAGCCTTGGCTTTTTCCTTTGTTTCACGATTGTCCCCATACACCAAGACATCATCGTTATATGCGTCCTCATCAGGAGGATGGAATGGTAAATCCCAGACCCAGCCTCCCACTTCTTCAGATACTGCATCGCCGCTGGAGTAGCCCGGAACCTCAAATCCGACACCCGTAATCATCCGCTCTATCACCCACTCGCGACATTCGAGGTCTAGCTGCCACTTCTTGCCCTTCCACTTCCAGCCTGGCGGGGGCTTGACATCCTCGAAAAACCGAGTACCCCTTGGTCGATCGCCTGCGATACGAGATGGAGATAACGGATCATAGGGCGTGGGGGTGAAAACGAACGATTCCCATTCGGAAGCTGCTGAGTATGGCGACAGCGATTTGTGCTGGAGCTCAAAAATTTCCACTTCTCGCTCCTCAGCGTACGTATCAAGGGAAATTGCAGCAGCGGATTTAAGTAACGTAAGGAGTGCTGATGGTGATGATGGAATCGGGATTCCCAAAATGATGTAGAAGTCGTCATCGGCCGTATTTTGGAATTCAGTGGCTGCTTCTTTCATTTGACTCCTTATTTGTTGCATAAAAGCTGCAACGCTGGGATTGCTTCCGAGAATAGCGGCGTTCCCACCAATCAAGAACAACGTGCGCCATGGGATAAGATGAGCGGTTAGAAACAAAATAGCAGATAGAACGGTGAGTATAAGAAAAAGCGTAGATGATAGTATTTCGTTAGAAAAATTCGTAGCCGGAGATAACAGCGACACGGTGGCATCGTGCAGATTCGCAAAATCTGCCATACTATTCTGGAGGTCTCGCATATTGTGGAAGAAGTCCTTTGAAGTTTCTGAAGCGGGTTTGATGGTCTGCGCTGGAGCAAGAGCAGGCCCTTCATACGAGTAGTATGCGGTGGGGCTGGAGGTTGATGCGGAAACGGGCGGAGGTGGATGACGAGCAAGAAATCCCGGCACCATAATGAAAAGTAAAAATACAGCAAATGGGAGAATTATAAGTAAATATGGATTTAGACATATAAACGAATAGACGGATAGGAAAGACAATGTGTGCGTTGAAGTTTGCCAGCTCAGGACGTTAATCACACGCTCTTGGAAAGAAAATACAATCCCGATTCTATAAGATAATTAGCAAACCGTGAACATATATACTAGCAAGTCAGAAAATAAAAGGGTTATCATGCCTAGCATTAAAACGTCGAAAGTTGTTGCTCATTGCAGGAAGGCTGAATGCAGGCCGGCCGATGTTTATAGCGGAGGGTTTGTTGGTCAGAAAATCGGCCTCTTCTCCCCGATCTTCAACGGGTATAACCTGCTCCCATAATCTGACTATTGTTAGCTAGTTTCAGTGGTAAGTAGATACAGAGTAGTATGTCCGGTCTATACTTTGTTAACAGCAGTTCCTGCAAAGAGGATCCAGTTGCCCAATCGCTCAGTGCTTTGGCCTCGGATTTCATGCCTTTGAACTTATTTTTCAGTCGCCGGGCTGAGATCCCGGATCCGACAGAATCATGGCCAGTTTTATCTCCAGTTGCACTGGGACTGTTCTCGACTGAATGCGAGGAGACTGAAATGACAGGAACGGGGTCTTCGCGGTTGACCACGGCGGGGGGATCATCCATACTGATGCCAGGAAGCCAGGCCGAATCCGGCCCAAAAGATAACACGACTGCAGAGTATTATGGATTATCGTGCAACGGTACGCTTATATGTTGTCATTCCATGTCCGAATAACCCCATGTTGCGAAGGTGGTGGACATATATATATGTGGAGGATGATGGATGGTTCATGTGGTCAGACCATTGATGGTGCCAAGGATCACAGATGCACTTCCCGTTGGTCAGCCACTTATGTCATTGCTCTGGACTCAATCAAAACTCACAAGCAAAACTGCTTTGTAGAATATAAATAGTAGTAAGTAGGAAATTGAGCTGAATAGCAAAACCCGAGGTGGAATGGAATTGCCCATTAAATCTACAGGCTAGTGGACAATCCGTCAGTGACTAACGTGAAGGAAATTTTTACTTCGGAAAGACTTGTCATTATATATCTACTAGGATGGTTCTTATTTTTATTATATACCCACACACATTTATTATTTATAGAAGGTATCCCAGTATCTGTTCTATCCAGCATTCGATCTATCGCAAAAATGCAAAATGGTCAAAATAAAATCCACAATAAGGGAATTCTATCCCATCTCGTCTTCCCATCTATCCCATATATCTCATCACTCCCTCAAAAGCCACCAACGCCATTGCATTCGCTGGGAATGCCCTCAAGAAACACGGCAAGAATCCCCGCCAGTATCCTCTCCACCCGCTTTCTTTCGCGACAGCCATGGCTGCATCCCTCCACCGTAGAAACCTCCTTTCGCCATCACCCAGCTTCCCACCCAACGGATCCGTCATAATCCGTTGCTTCACGACATCAGAGGGGTATGATGTAAGCCAAAACACTTGCGCTGACAACCCACCTGCCCAAAAGTTAATGGCGGGTGTGGATAGTCGAGTATGCTGCTTCATCAATCGCGAGAAAATGTCGTAAGTGCCCCACCAGAAGAAGAAAAATGATCGAAAGATCAAAGTGGCGCCGAGACCGCGATAAATTCCAGAGATTCCATGTACGCGAAGCTGTGAGAACGAACGAAAGATTAATGGGAGGATTAGACCTTGATATTTGTTAAGAAAGCAGAAATAATATGAACAAGACTATTCAAAGTACATACAATTTTTTTCATACAGTCGATCGGACCGCTATATAGCCGTTGCTTCTTATCAGCTGCATACTGGATCTGTAATCGTGCTTTCACATGCTCAACAGGTGCTGCTACAAAGCTCACTGTTGAGCCCGCCATAATTCCAGCGATGCCATGGCCAAAGCTGGATAGTCGATCTGGGATTTTGTCCGAAGCAAACGGTATCAGTCGTCGTAGTTGTTTGTTTGAAAAGATTTGTTCGAACAAGAAACGGCGATAGAGCGTCAATGACCCAAGCATGCTATGTTGAAATTAGAAGAATGCTGTGCGGAACGAGATGGGTATCGAATTTCAATGACTAACACCGAATCCATGACCATCCATCCCATCAAGGGTGGTGTCGCACCTTTATACAAGGCCCTTGGCCCTTCATTCCGCACAGTCTGAAGCAGACAATCTAGAGGGCCGCTAAAATGTGAAGATTTCGTTGTTTGAAGACGAACCTTGATGGTGTCAAAGCTGTTGACCAATGGTAAGTGATGCATGCCTAGAGCGTCCAAGAGGGAAAACCCAAAGTCAGGTAGAAATTATATCACATACGGATGTCCCACTATAAATCATCCGAGTAAGGAAGGTCAGGGTAACCTCGTCAGCTATTTCCATGATCCCATTATAAATTAAATATAAACAGCAGCTATTCTATAAAGCCAAAACATATATCTAGCACCATAATAAAGACATCTGCCCCATATCCCCGCAGGATATATTGACTTTTCACAGGAAACAAAGAAGTTGGATATTGAAGCAGGGATAATGACAAAAAAGGAGTCAAACTCACCACCCAACTTGGCAATGCCAGAGAATACTCCTGCCACAAATCCCTTGTATTCTTTTCTGTTCCCCTTTGACTTGATTCCACGAATTCCATTCCCTTCTTGGTTTCCCATTCCCCGAATATCAAATCAGAATTTCAGCGTACAGCTCCCACAGGATCTGGTGGGAAGAAGAAAATATTTTTGCTTCTGGGTGATTATTATTGCAGAGGTGGATACTAGTCTCGTTTCCAAGAACATCGATGCATGCACGCTCTCCAAACTTCCTTTCCCTTGGCTGTAAGCTAAGATGGTTAACTGATCCTCTTTTGTCTGAAAATTATAGTTATTGAAATTATTTATGTAACTTATCCATAACGGCATTGCTGACGCATTCGTGGTTGATTTCTTAAAAAATGGCTGGCGGGTCCGTGATCGGCCTCACGTGATATTTGAATATGGTGGACGCGACGACCAGTTGGTATGTCAAATATCCCACAACTTCGATGATTGATAATTCTATTATAAAATGGATATAGGGTTGTCAGCCCTTTGAAAACGAATGTAAAAGGAGGAAAAAAAAGGAGAAAAAAAGAGTCACAGCCACAATGAGTCCACGAGCACAATGAAATATATCGAATGATATGGCCAGTCGCAAGCCATTCGTGACAAGAAGTAGCTCTTTGTTCGTGATATGCTCAACATGACTCCACAAAACTTGGATAGCGACACGATGGCAGCCCTTGAGAAGGATGGGTTGAAATGTATGTTCTCCCTCCATCTCAAACCACTTTCAAACAACTTATGCGCCAACACCTCATAAACAGTGATCCGCTTTTCCATATTAAAAATTGATATTTAACAGATAAAGAGATTTGAAGTCGTCTGCTATGTTTTTCCAAAAAGAATGAATGGTCTGCGTGGGCTGTTTTTATGAATACTTCAAAGACGCAGACCACGGGGTTATCACTGAGATATTTCAAAACCCTACTCAGTTCAATTTTCATTCGCAAAATTATCAGATTTGGTACTCAATTGCAATAGCCAAAGGATCCATGCCTGCCTCCAACCTATCTTCCTTGGCGGCGGATATGATGCGTTTCTGCATCGCATAAATACACCAATCCAATAGCTTATGTGGCAAAGGAATTCACCACAATGAGTCCTTGAGCATGTACTTCATGATTCCCGGCCTGTTTTTTTTTTTTAAATCATATGTGATCCAGGAGGGATGTGTGCAGTAACTTCGAGAATCCCAAGCCGTTCTCACTCAGTAATAATTCCATCTTGGTCACGTTTGGAGTCGATAAAACCTGCTTGGATAACCACCCCGAATAAATTTCCCCTCACTGCTCTACGAAAGATGAAGCCTACCTGTATGAGCAATATCATGATCATGGAGATGTTCAATTCCGTGATGACCGTCTCTGAAGATACTCTTTTTCTTAAGCGGCAAATCCTTCGGAGCGAGGTTAAGGAGATGGTCCCCTATTCAAAAACAATCATTGACTACCCAGGGGTGGTATCTTGGACAAAATGGACATGGTTAGTACTACCTTTAGTATCTTATTTCTCTCTTGAAGATCTCTGAAATTGACGATGTGGGTATGTTTTAATGTAGATTTTCCGCCATCAGCAATGAGGAAGCTGATGGCAAGCGATGGGAAAAGTATGAGAAGTGATAAATAATTAGTGCCAATTCACTTGGTAGGGTAAATCCAGCGTGGATGAGATGTGATGGCTGTGACCCCTCAGAATCCGCCAGAGCAGTTGACGTGATATCTATTTTGCGATTGAAGGCGGTGTTTTGCGTCAAAGTTGACTCCGAGCAGAAGGGTTTCGACTTCACGATATTGAAATATTGTGGGGATCCGCAAAAGCGAATTTACTCAATGGTCACTGTTTCCCTCTTAGCTTTTTTTTTTTTTTTTTTTTTTTTTTTCATGTTTCCTTCTGTGATCGACATGTTTAATAAATCTTGAGATATATGCTCTCGTCTGCGTCCCACCATGTATCCATCCCACTTGTATTCCCCTCTTTTCTTCTCGGAATGTTACACATGATATCATTTCTCCGCCTACAGTGACGCTCAATTTCTGCAATCGCTATTGAAATGTGTATTGTATCGCCAAACGCTCCAAGGAGAGAAGTAAAATGACGTTACATTGTCCGCAACAAGTTCTTGAAGTTTAACCCGCTCTGCACAGCCAAGTGTTCACACACATAATCGTGGGCTTTCGTCAATCCATTGACAAATAATTGGGTCTAAGCCTGATCAGGCATATTCTTTGATTTTGAATAATTAGTTTGACTAACTAACTAGTTATCCATCTTTATATAAGTGCTGGGCAAAGTTTTGGTTCGGATATAGTAGATTTCCGCCGAGAAAATACGATAATTTTGTTCAGCTTTCGATCTGACTCCAACGGAAATCGCCAACTGAGGCAATCAAATCAAGTAACAATAAAAGAAAGAAGAAAGAAAGAAAGAAAGAGATTCAAGGATAAAAATAAAGATAAAGAACAAATCATTCACTTTGCAAAATACAAGCAAATTGACAAAACAAAACGATTAAAAAAAAGAGAGAGAGCGAGCAACTCACACGAACTACCCAATCCAATCCAATCCCTCCAATGTCAGCTGGACATCAACTCCTTCCCGCCTCTGTGGTGTAGTTGGTTATCACGTGAGTCTCATATTGATCTCCTTTTTAAAAAGGAAATGTTATAAAATATGATAGGTAGCAAACAAAACTGCTTAAGCAATCTCAAGGTCGCCAGTTCGATCCTGGCCGGGGGCAAGAAAGGTGTCTTTTTTGGTGTTGTTTTCTTACTTTGCTTTTATTCTTTCCACTTTTTTTGCTTTTCTTTCTTTCTTCCTTTCTTTCCTTCATTTTTTTTTTTTTTTTTTTGTTTTGCCCCAAGCAACGGCGCTGATTTTGGCCTCGGTTCGTGCTGTACTCGACTAGTGAGCTGTGGGGTCAATGTGGGCGCCGCTTATGACGAAATGAAAGGAGCATTACTCCGCCCGTTTGGTCCGCTTCTGGCTCCACACACCAGACACGGGCCACAGCGCAACGTCGCCCTGCGGTGGTTAGTTTCTGTCCGCAGACAACTTATGGGCAAGTCAAAACAGTATATTGTTTTGATGCTCGGGTTTTATTTTGAAATTTTTTTTTCATCCTTCCTCTCTGTTTCTTCAGGGTCTTTATTTACCGCTTTGCCGTGTGTGGTTGTTGCAGGATGGCGGAGGCCCCTAATCAATCATAGTTCTCTAGTTGGTTAACTAACTTCTGTGAACTTTAGCACTTTGTGCTTTTGTGAGGGACTAGCTTGTGTTTGACTTGTTTGTCTTAGATGGTTATCATATTATCAGTGTTGAGGCGTAAAATGATTTGAGAGATCGTGGTTTGATAAAGTTTTTGTGGTGAAGCTTATTTAACAGATTATTGTGGAGAAGTTGGTTTGTGGAGAAGAGAGTTTCAGGCCAACCAGTGGGTGAAGTGGCAGGTTTTACGCTGTAGTGCTGGATTATTATCCAATACCATGAAGCGGATAGGGATAGAATCGGATATGGATGGTATGGGTCACTGGTAATCATTTGATGATATCATATTATCATATGATAATTTGCCGGGTTTAACTAAAAGGGTTAAAAAAATAAACTAAAATAAAAAATAAAACAAGGTGGACAAATCATTGGGTATATATACACACACGGAATGCAGACGATATGCAGACGATGCAGGAGAGGGAAAAAGAAAACTAAAAGAGGAAAGAGAAAAGAAAAAGAAATAATTGAAACACACAGCAGAAGGCAAGTGGGAAATATTTCATAAAGTGGACATAGATATACTGCGCAGGTTTGGGACGATCAATCGATTGAATGGACTGAGGCTAGAGAGAGACGGAGGTGGGGACTGATAGATGGACAGACCCAATCTTAGATTGGTTTGCACTACACTATTTTCCGCGATCTGTTGAGGATCAGTAGATTTTGTATCTGAGAGAAAGGTGAAGATAGGTTCAAATGGAAATAAAATGATAAATAGAAAACAAAATAGGTTATGGTATACATGCAGAACAAACAAAAAAGAAAGAAAAAGAACTTAGTGCCATGCTCCTGTGTATCTATCCCCATGCTTTCGCCTTTCTTTGGTTTTGGGTTGTTGGTTCTATTTTGTCTGCTGCTTGATGACACTTTTCAGATAAAACATGGGGCAAGGTGCAATTTGGGAGGGTAATAACATGTTGAGAAACAAATGAACAGAATAGGAAAGAAACAAAAATGCATGCAAGTTGAATGGGGTCAGGTCAATTGGATTGGTATCTGTTGTTCCATAGCTGTTTGCTATTGTTGTTGATTTTCGCTTGCAAGGGACAAAAGTGTTCAATAGTCAGAAGGGGTATTTTAGTTCACCCGTGATGAGGAGGTAAACTACGCTGATAGAAGAAATGCATTTAGAGCAAAGTAAAAAAAGTCAAGGCGAGTCGTGATGCATGAAGATGTATGCCAGTCAAAGGAACCGAAGTGGAGAAACATACAGAGAACCAATTCTCATCGACTCTGGTTCTCCTTCCTCGACAAGCCTTGAGACCCTAACTTCTCAGTCTCCCGCTGGATGAGCTTCTCGACCAGTTCCCGTGGCGACACAGGGCCATTATTATGATTCCTCGCATTGGAGTCTGGCGGCGGCGACCTGGAAGCCCCAGCGACGAAATATCCACCCTCATTTTCCTCTAGCGCCAAGGGCGTCACGGGGCCGGGGCTGCCCAGCGGATCAAGTCGCGGCTTTGAAGGCTTCATGCTACTGCTCGTTGTCGAGGAGCCGCGTGGTGTGAGTGTCACACCTGCGACGAGGTCGCGGTATTGGCGCAGGGCATCCCTGGAACCTGATGGTATTCTGTATGGCTGTGCGGGCCGCTGTTGGAGCGGGGAGGGGGGTTGGTTGGCAAGGGTGTTCGATGTGGATTGGTAGACGGCTGGGTGGAAACGCGGGAGGTTTGCTAGCTGGATGGAGTGGTTGGGTTTGGGAGACATGCGGCTCTTGTTGCGGAGGAGGAGGAGA